GAAATTTTAGCGGGGTCATAGGGGTTTATATACTTTGATCCCTGCGGTAAATTCGACCGTATTCATATGTGAATTTCGGCTTATTTTTACTTATTTTTAGCATTGGGTTCTATCCTCGTTTCGTGCTATATATTCATGGTTTATTCCGTCGTGTTAAGGCTAAATTCGCGTGCCTACTTACTAGAAAAGAATCTAATAAACTCTGGGCTTCTACTATAACATCCCTCAATTCCGGGATTTATCCTAAATATTAGTATTTTTAGAAAGGGAGGTATTAATATCGCTAGAAAAAGGTATTCCCTAATAAATGCGAGACATATGAAAAGTAGTTAATAAATAAAATAGTATTCTGGGTCTTCAGTTGCGTATTCCTCCCGGTTTATCGCCGTTTTAGGCGGTACTTATTCCTTATTTATCCTCTGGTTTAAAGGATTTAGGTATACTTTTCTTTTTTTTTTTAAATTCAAGGCCCTAGTCTACTAGATTCGCTCTCTTCTATGCTTCTACTATGCTCCTCGCTATATTTCAGAGCTCGGGTTCAGCTATCTAGTTATCGTCTTTGGCTATAAAGCCGACCTATCTTACTAATAAGTCCCTATATGGCATCTTATTCTTCTAGCAGATTCGTTACTACATAATTCTTTCTACTTCCCAGTGGTCCACGACCTCCTCGTCGTCGATTACAATGGGAGCCGGTAGTAGAATCATTCGTTAGTATAGGTCCTCTCCCTGTGCTAGCTTCTATAGATAGGCAACCGAAATAACCGGGTGGATTTTCTAGTACTCTAGGAAGTCAAGCTTAAATGCCTACTATCCGATCTTGCGGATAACCTTATAGGGTCCGGCCCTCGTAGGTAATTATTTCCTCTTGGGTTTCCCTAGTAGGTAATAGCCCTTATGGAGTCGTAGGTAGACTATATTACCTTCGTCGATATTGATTTCCTTATGCTTCGCGTCGTACCTAATCTTAGCTAGCGATACTAAGGTATTAATAAGAAATTCCGCCTCCTTATAGTAGATCTTACGCAGCGCCTCTAATACTTACGCGTCTACTTCCTTATCCTCGATTCCGGATATAGCTACGAGGTCAAGGATTCCGCGTGGGTAGAACCTATAAATTAGTTCGTTTAGTGCTCTCCCGATAGTATTTAATACTGCGTTATTGAGGTTATGTTGTAGCGATGGGAGTAGAGCCGGCCACGGCGTATCCGGATCCGTTGCGGTATAGTACTGAATCGTAGTTTCGACTATTTGGTTCTTTCTTTCTAAGATCCCATCGGTCTGGGGGTGATACGCGGCCGACATAAGGAAGTTAACTCTAAGGAAGCCAAAGATGGCTCTCTAGATCTAGGATATGAACTTTAGGTCCCTATCGCTAATGATCCGTACGGGGACTCCCCAATCTAGTAGGAATAATATCTAGATAAGCACCTTCGCCTAGTCTTCTACCGTATATGACATATGCCCTGCTAGGAGTATTATCTTTTTCGAGAATACGCAATTAATAGGGGCTAGGCAATCGAGTTTATCGTGCCCTTCGACGAACCACATTGTCCCTGCTGCGGTTACCTCTGGTAGGTCTATAATGAAGTCGAGGGCGATCGTGTGGAAAGGTCGTAGTATTACCGCAATCGACTATAGTTCCCCCTAAGTCGGCTTCTGACTTATTGAATTCTCGTGATATACTAGGCAATGGGCCACGTAGTTACGTATTATTTTCGACATTCGGTAGAAGTAAACCGGGTCTAACTCTTAAGTCATACGGTTAATTCCGAAGTAGTGCTTATTATCGTGGACGATTTCGAGGATGCTTTTGACCAAGGGTCGTAGGATGCAGAGTCTCCGTTTTCCTTCGTATCCGACGTAGTATAGGAATTCATCGGAGAGTTCCCATAGCCGGAAGGGTATTATCTTTGGTCGTCGGTTCTAGCGGTCCGCGTTCTAGATTTCCTTAATATAATCCCGTATCCGACCTAGCTTCGAGTCCTTACTATAGCCCTCGATTACTTATTGACGAAACTCCGGTGTGATCCCAATTTATATTGTTTCCACTTCTGCCAAAGCCACCACGAAGTCTAGCTCATCGAAGTTACTTTCGGTGGCTCGTCTTATTAATCGGTCTTCGACGGGTAGGCGAGAGAGTATATCTGGGATTATATTAAGTATGCCCGGCACGTAGAATATCCTTAGCTCGAATTAGGAGAGGTAGTTAGCCGCCTTGACTAACTTCGGGTTGGCTTTATTAAAATCAATAGTCTTTAGAGAGGTATAGGTGATAATACCTTTAGTTACAGCGTGGTTAGTAATGATATTTACTAGGTGCCTACTTAATTACACTAGCTTTCCTATCTTTCGTACTGCCTATGCTAACGCTATGACTTCGGCTTCTGTCGATCCGTATCTAGCCTCTACCGCGGAGGTTAGGCGCGAGAAGAACCCAATGGGTTTTAGCTTCTCGCTTAGAATATCCTTCCTAGGAATTAAGCTTCTATCCTATTCCCCGTCGATCTAAAAGACGAATAGGCTAAAGCCGTTCTTATACGCATCGATTTTAAAGAAAAGTGGTTTTATTGGATCATAGTGCTATAGGGTGAATTGTTCTATTAGGAATTGCTATATCTCATCGAAAGCATTTTATTCCTTTTTCATAGGCGTGAATGCGATGGCTAATGCTTTTAACCTGCGGATTAGTTTTAACGCTCCGGTCGGCAATTTCGAGGCGGCTTTAGCTTCGCGCAGTAACTGCGACTTCCGATTAAGTAAGGGGCATATTCGCATATCGTACTATGGAATTCCTTTTCGGAGGTATCTGGCTATCCCAATATAGGTTTCGAGAGCGGCTAGGTCGGTTAGGCATACTATTTTTGCGAAAGCATCGAGTCGGTCTTGAGTTCAGTATAGCTCGTCGCCGTCGACTATATATCTAAGTAGCTTAACCGCGTTATATCCTATGAAGGATTTATCGGCGGCGATCTTTAATTAATTCTCATCGAGTAGCTTTAATACCACTTCCAGATACTCGAGGTACTCCTCGAAAGTATCGGAAAAGACTACTATATCGTCGATATAGACGCGCATAAAGGCGCGATATTAGAGGAACATCCCGTCCATAAACCATTAGCCAAAAGCCGGTAAGTTCTTAAATCCTATTAGGGCCACGTTAGAAACTTCCAACCCACGGTTAGATATAACTACTATTCGATTGCGGTGCGTATTATAGATAGGTAGCTAATAGAAAAATCTAGTCCCATCGAATATCAAAAAGTACTTCTTCCCTCTCGTATCCGCCATAATATCCTCCTGATCTGGCAGTAGGTACACATCGGGCACCGTGATACTATTCAGGGGTCGCAGGTTAACCACGACTCTGCCCTTCTTCTTGCCATCTATGGTTCTCTAGACAACGAAAGTAGGGCAGGCGATAGGTATTAGTTCGTCCAGGTGATGCATTTTTCCCGCTGCGTATAGCTTCCCGTGGACTTCGTCTAGGAACCGGCGGTCTTCGACCCCTATTAGGTAGGCTCTAATGGTCCTCTTCTAGTTCTGCCATCCGTCGACGAGGTCGATTCTTATTTTCTTTTCCTTAGGCATAGGGACGACGCCTTTGTCCCTGTAGATGTCGTATTTATTCGTCAACTCCATGAACTTCGCGGCTTTCTTTTCGTCGAGGTTGGCTACCTTGACTCCGAACCTGTTCTATACCGAGGGAATGCCTTCAGGGCGGCTAATCCCGTAATTGGGTAGTCCGGCATCGACACGGATTAGGTCGTCTTTATCGATTGTCTCTTCCAATTCGGTCGTTGTTATCGGTAGCGTGCCGGTTACGAGTACGTTCTCGATTTCCTCCCCTGGTCTAAAATCCTTGCTGATTATGCCTAGGAAATCTACCGTTCTGGACCCGCTAGCGATAAAGTTCGTAGTTTTGTTGCCTTCGTAGTTGCTGATATGACCTATGAGTTACCTCCGATGGATCCGAATATCTTTTCCGTCGGTATTGTGGAAGATGACCATCCTCGGGGTGCTTCTGTCGATTATGCTGTCGAAAAAGCGTTTATCCTTCCCTTAGAAGTAGAAAGCCTCCTTACTCCTATCTGATCCGTGTGTCGCCGGCAGGTTCTTATAAGTGACCGGGATAAAAGCGGTTTTACCTTTCTTTACCGTGACTATATAGGCGCTCTTTACTACTCGGTTAAGCGGCGAGATTCTCTTCTTAAAGATCTCCCCTCGGATGATTATGCCATGCGCCGATCTAAAAGAGATGCTAGGGTAGACGAAATCGACTTTAGCTCCGTGCTCGTATAGGAAGCCTATCCCTAGTAGTAAATAGGGCGTAAGTTAGTCGATGATATCGGCGGTGACGGTGAAGTAGGCCTTAACTTCTTTTCCTTATATAATTCTGGGAAGGTAGAAGTTAAAGGTAGCGGATTTAGTGATATTTGTAACTCTCCCTATGCCGCTAAGGGTTTTCGGCTCTTAGTTCTTCTAGGTCACCTTTTTGCCATGCTCCGTAAGCTATGCCTCGTCGACTATAATAGCCGAGGCTCCGGTATCGTAGTATACTTAGTAGGTCTTAGCTTTTTTTATTCCTTCGAAGGTAAGGAGGATCTAGAGATGCGTTAAAGCTTTTCCGCCTAACTAGTCATTAAAGTCGGGTCTTCCTATTGCTTCGATGACTTAGCTGTCGTCAATAGCGAAATTGACATAATGCCTTTCTTCTGCCTCTATTACGAGGTAAGAATCCTCCTCTCTTTCTATGATTTCGGCGTAATAGGCGGTGCTCTTATCGCTTTCGCCAGCTCCTTCCTCGCTTAGGGAGTCTTCGTCGGCGTAGTATGCTCTTTCAGGCTTATCCCGATTCTAGCCTCCGCGGTTCCGGTATCGTCCTTCCTGGCCCTCATTTCGTGGCCTTTATTAGTTATATCTGGGCTCTCTTTTGCCGAGGTCCTTGTTCCCTTGGTGTTGTCCTTCCTATGGCGGAGTCTCCTTCTACTATTCCGATTTTATCTCCGGGGTTCTTCCCCTCTATTCGCTAGGGCGGCCTCGGTCGTCTCCTCGTTCCCAGTTTCTGTTTTGGTTCTACCCTCCTCCTTATCGGTTCGGGTTATTTGGCCTTTAGGGTCAGAGTCGATTATCGTAGGTATTATCGCCGATTTCTCTCGGTCTCCAGCTACGAGGAGGGCGGTTTCGGTCCCTATAGCCTCTATTCCATAGGCGGTCGTTGCCCTATAGTGCCGAATCCTCGGGTTCGGATCCTTTATTGTCCCTTTCGTTGGTAGTATATATATGTTTTTCGCTATATTAGAGCTTCTTCGCTTCGTTTCCGGTCTTCCTATTGCATGCCGCTTTTAACTTTTCGCGCAAGGTCTTCCTCTTACTATCTACTATATTAATGTATTTAGATCATTCATCGGATTCCACCGGTGCCCTATAGAGTTACCATAGCTCCGGGTATAATTTGGCGTAAAAGCAGGTAAGCAGCTCAAGGTCTATGGCCTTTCCTACTACTCTAGATATATTAAAGATTCTTGCGGAGAAATCTCATAGCGGTTAGTCGCTTTCTATATCCTTAAGGGTAAAATAGGCTTAGTCTAGCTATTCTAGAGCTTCTTAAAGTTCTATATTAAATTCGGTTTTCACCGCGTCGAGGAAGGCGCTAATTAATGCGATATAGGTCTGCCTCTCTCGGTTATCGAGTAGTCTTCGCTACTAGACCAATGCGCTGCCTCTGATGAGTCTCTATGCGTTTTCCTTAATAAAAGCGACTTACTAAGGGCTACTTCCTTCGAGGTGGGATTTAACTAAGTTAACCCATAAGTGAGCGTCTATAAAGATTGCCATAGTCTTATCGTAGAAGATTTCCGCTAGGGGATCTCCGGATTTACCTCTTAATAGTATATCTAGCTAGAAGAGGCTAATATCGGTGAGTTTAAATCCGATATTAGCGTTCTTCCCTCCTCCTGTGCTCCCCTATTCCTAGTATCCTAGGCCTATTGGGTTTAACCTTGCGGTAGATGACATGAATGGCTCCATTAGTGGTTCCGTTATCCGTAGCTATCTTGCCCCACTCGGTCATAGGGGGAGTTAATTTCCTCGGTGAGGCTCCTAATATAGTAGAGTCAAGGCTATAGCGGGATAGGGGGTATATAGCGGCTAGGTTAGATGCGTCGCGTAGAGGGTCAGATATTGCGCCTAAGAGTATGTTCTATTTTATCCTTAGAATTACCCTGACGAGTTCTACTATAGTAATATCGATGGTGCTAGTGCCGAATATTGGATTCTGCTTGTTAATTCTAGCATCTAGTGCTGCGAGACTAGGTGCTAAGCCGGTTACTGGGCCGGATGCTAGGCCAATTGCGGAGGATGGGCTTAGGGTTATATTCTATCGGGACCTACTTATACGCCAGCGAGTCCCATATCCTCTAGCTTTAATCCGTAGTTTCACTCGAGGAGGTCGATTATCCGCCTTGCCGTCAGGGATCGCCGGTAAGAGTCTTCTATTTCTAATCTCATTTCTTCCGGAACCGGCATTCGCCTTACTATACTATAGGATCCTTGCGATCCCATTCCGACTAGGTTTAGGGCTCCTATCTAGAATTGAGGTATATGGCCTCCCGCGGTTGGGTTTAACTAGTTTATGCTAGGAACCGGGGGTCGAGCTATCAGATCCGTAATTTCTAGTGCTTCTATTCGCGCGCTTGGTTAATAGACGCGAGGATAGTTCTGACGTCTTAGCGTCGGATTCGGCGAGAGATAGAAAGTCGAAGCGGTGAGGTAATCGGCATTAGGGGTATTAGGACCGAGGCTTTATATTAGGTCTAATAGCGCTAGTCGATTCGGGGTCTTTTGCTTCCTTAGTGCCGTCGATGCTACTAGTTCCGGTTCTTTTCCTTTTTCCTACGAAGGATCTATATTTAATGCCTTAGTTATTGGTCCTAATGGCTCGAGTATTGTATCCGTCGATAAAGCGTAGACTAAGAGTTCGTCGTCGGGTAGTAGCGCTCCTTCGCGTTTGGCTCTCTTAATGATCTTTTTAGTAGTCTCCTAGGCTTATCCGATAGCATATAGATCCGTAGCGTTCCAGTGATATAGTAGTTATTCTATGCTTAGTGCTACGTCTCTATAGAAGGCATTAAATTTGTCTATTTCTTAATAGGAGAGCTCGGTTAGGTCTTCGAGTATGCCTAGTTTAGCGAGGAGTCGTTTCTTATGTCTAAAGGTTAGGTTCTATAGTAGAAAGACTCAGAATCATCGTAGGTAGTTGAAATCGTTCTTAGTGAATTTCGCTTTTGCTAAAGCCCTTGCGATTGTCTAGTAAGAGGCTTACTCGAATAGGTCCTATTTTGATGAACTCGGGGTCGACATAGAGGTTGTTGGTTTCATCTGGCCTATTAATAGGGACGAAGGTATTGATCTGTTGTGTTTATGAATAAAAAGAGTTAAAACTTCCTTCTAGTACTTCACTTGGTTTCGACGTGGAATATATCGAATGAAGCGTAGGTCGAGTTAAAAGAAGCGTTAACTGCTACTATATATTATGGATCCCTTAGCTCTAGTAAGGGATAGAGGTACCGCTGAAAGCGGCAGTGAGATAGCTGACTTTAGCAGCTATCTAGTTGAAGTTATATAATTCATAAAGTATAGAGAGCAAAGAAGGCATAATATAAGTAATCTAATCTAAGTTGATTCTTCCTAACTAATAGCTACTGGATTTGACTATTATAGCGCTAGATCTATCACGTGGGGAACCCGTATGACTGGGGCATGTAATAATAAGAGCTTATATCTAATTAAGAGCTATTATCTCTATTTTACCTATAAGGTATAAGTTTTTTTTTTTTTTATTAATATATTAGCTAATATTTTATATATAAGCTAAACCCTATATAAACCTCCCTAAGATAACTAATTATATTATTATTATTACCCCTATTTATATCTATAATAATACTTTTACTTAGCTATTACTTAAGGTAATTAATTACCTAGATAATACTAAGAATATAATAAGAGTTAATATTTAGGTTAAGGGTAATAATCCTAATATTATAAGTAGTCTTAGCGAGTTATATAATATTATTAATTAGGCTATTATTAATAATAACCTTAGTTTTATTTATTTTATTTCTTTTATTAATTAATATTCTTATTTCTAAGGCCTTATTAACCCTTTATTAATACTTAATAATTATTTTATTAATAAAAGTAATAATAATATTCTTAATCCCTCGCTAAATAAGCGCCCTAAGACTTATAATTAAGCTACTTATAGTAAAGATTATAATAATTATAACGTACATGATAAGCGAGCGACGCGGATAAGCGAGCGACGCGCTTTTACTACGCTCTTAACTAGAAATCACTATAAAAACACAATAAATCAATTAATCAATTAAAACTACCTACTGTACTCTTCCCCAGACGTCTTAATCACTACCTGACACGTTCTTACATTATGCCCGGGCTTGCCGCATACTCCACAGCGCCGAACCCCCGGTCCGACTGACCTTCCTCGACCACCACTTCTCGACGATTCCGCCACTACCTGCGCATTAATATCCCTCTGATTAATTGCTTGCCTTCCTTCCTCTACTGTTATTACCCCTCCTCTTTGTAGTCGGGTCCTTTTTGCCCTCCGCCGCCGGCTTAATATCTCATTTGCCTGTCGAAGGTCTTGGACCTTAGCCCTCAATAAGGCATTCTCATGCATTATTGCCGTAGTTCCCTTAGCAAGTGACTTAAGAGCTCCTAGAATCGACTCTGGGGAGCTACTTTGATGCCTTCTAATTCGTCTATTGAGGTATTCAGACTGAGATTGGGCCTCGAGGACAGTCTTTGGGGTCTTTGAGACCCAAGGGGTCGAGGGGCTAGCTACCTCCTCGGCAGGCGTTGGCGTCCGTAGCTGCACATCAAGCTTTGAGACCACACTTTCTGGGTTAAGAGGAACAAGCCTAGCCCCTCTAAAGGCTGACTTGACATTTCTTTCTGTCATGGTGGCCTGATGTGCGGCATAAAAGGCCGGGAAGAACTCGGTCTTTGAAACGTGGGTTATAGAGTATCTGATCAGACGCTCAATTTCCCGACCATAAGCCTGCTTGAGCAGGTTAAAGTACCCGACATCAAGGGGCTGAAGCAGATGAGACGAATGAGGCGGCATACAAAGCGTGATGATCTTGTTTTCCTCGCAATATCTCTCAAAGTCGACGGAGTGGTGACTTTCGTGGCCATCTAGGATCAGAAGACGATAGGAACCAATTGATCGATTGCTTGTACACCGGTTGAAGTGCTTTAGCCACTCGAGACCGATCTCGTTATCAGTCCAGCCATTTTGGGTCGTTGCAATAGCCCAATCGCCCGGGAGGTTGCTGTGTCGGTACCAATTGGCGAGGTGATATTGGCCCGCACCGATAATAAACGGCTGGATCGCCTAGCCGGCCGCGTTAATCGCCTGAATGACCGTAATCTATTCCTGGCTTCCAGGCTGCACTGATTTCGGTCGTCCACGCCTTTCTGTACCTGTAATAACCATTCCGCTTGCAATTATGCCCATAAGAAAGCCAGTCTCATCAAAGTTCCAGATATCATCTGATCGGATGCCGTACTTCGCGATTATATTCGCCATAAGCCGAAACTAGTTGCGAATAACGGTTGGATCTTCGCATTTAGCTCTCTGGTAGTCGTATTTACGAAAAAAACGCGTCTTAACCTCTTCGTGTCGCCTGACGAAGTTATGAGCCTAGCGCTTGCCGACGGGTGACGCATCGCGGTCGGCAAGCAGTCGGTTGGCCATTTCTTCCATAGCACGCAATCGGGGAGGAAATCCTCGCGAATCTAGGTCGAGAATAAACTGAATTATAATCTGTTCCTCTAGATTAGATAGTCGGCGTGAGTTAGGGATAATATCGCCTCGAGATTGAATGCCATCCTGCCGGCGACGTAATCTTGCCTCAGAGATCTTATAGATCCTTGCAGTAGGTTTAATACGTAGGTTTGGGTTATTTTGAAGGGCCTGAAGGGCAAGAAGGGTTCTAGCCTCAATATTTGGGTCTGATATGTTTTATGGTTGATAAATCAATTAATTAAGTGAAGGTTAGGTATAAGGAGGAAAAGCGCGTCGCTCGCTTGTCCGCGTCGCTCGCTTATCATGTACGTTAGTAATTATAATAATTATAATAATACTAATAATAACCCTTAAGCTATAATAAACTTATTATATCTTATTATTAATATATTAGCTTTTTATTTTCCCCAGGTTTTTTTATTATTATAGCTTTATTTTTTAATTTAGGTCTTATTTATATTATTCTATACCTATATTATAATACCTCGGCGAAAAATCCCTTATATTTATAAATAACTTAATATAATTTAATTTAATTATATTTTTATATTTAAGTTTTTATTTTATATTTAAACTAATAAAACTTTCTTATTATAATACTTTTAATATATATTTAGCTATACCTTATTTTACTTCTTATAATCTTTCTTTATAACCTTAAGGTATTTCCTTATTATTATTTATATATTCTCTAAATATTCCTTTAGTTCCTAAGTATTATATTTTATTAATTAACCTTTTTATTTAATAAAATAAAAGGTCTTATTTTTTAAATCTTTATATAAAATTATTTCTTTTATCTCTTATTTATTAGGCTTATCTTTAAGCTCTAGCTATTCTTAGGTAATATTATTAATAATTCTATAATCTATTAATAATTTAATAAATAATATATAAAATATATTATATATATATTAATATTTTTCTAATAGCTCTAAGGTATAAGCCTATTTTTTATACTTATTAAGGATTTTAGCTCTTATAAATCTTAAGGCTAATTTAAGATATTTAAATCTTTAATTTTTTATTAATACCCTAATAATCTATCCCTAATAATAAATCTATAGCTTATACCTAAAGTTATAATATTTTACCTAGGATTTTAATGCCTTTTTTTAATATATCTATAGTTAGGTTTATATCTAGCCTAATATTATTAAATATTTAGTAATACCTTATATATTTATTTCTATCTTTATTAAGATATATTTTATATATCTTAGGTAATAACTAAA